TGGCGAATCCGAACGGGACGTTGAATGCCAGTTTAGAACGTAGATTCAGCAGTGTGGTCAAAATTTGAGGTCAATCGGTTGAGGCTGAGGCGAGATAGAGACCCATGAACATGGGGAGCAGCGCCGTGGAGAGAGGGGCGCCCGGGGCAGGCAGTGCAGCGGCGTCGAGGGGGCACGCAGGCGCCATGCGTATCGACAGCCTGAAGCGCGCACGGTGTCGAAATTTCAGCGCACCTGGTGCTAATTGAAGGTAGTTACGGTAGGAAGACTTTGAAGCATTTCCAGACATGGGAAATCTCGGCTGTAGATGATCTTCATGAGGAAAGAACACCACCATCGAATTCTGCGACCTCGATTTGCTCAGGATCAAAAAATTTTGACTCGATTGGACTCCGTTTTCTTCTAAAAAATCCAACCCCTTTTTTACGTGATGACTCATTGCGGCCTTACTAGACGGGCTATGAAGCTAAGGAAAAATTGTAGGAAATAGTTAAGAACAGCGTTCAAGTAATTCCGGGCTTTCACCGTTTACAATGACAACCACATGAACTACCGTACTTAAATTTATTCGACGTCCAGAATTACACAGCAAAGAAAAAAAAACAAACATTCACTCCAATCGGAGAAACAACCACACAAAGCAAGTGGGCATACGCCCTGCACAGCAATAGATAAAGAAGGAAAAGAGGAGGCCGGAGGCCAATCCACAAGACGAAAGATACAAACAATCGTTATTGGCGCCCATGCCCCCACGTCGCTTTTCGCGCCTTCTTTTTTTCCCGCCATGCTGCGCGCTGATCATAGACTGATCTACAATACATAAGATCAAATTTCATTTCTTTGAACACTTCGAACAATTCATTTCTTTTTTTCATTCTGCTATCACAAAATTGCTGATCTCATCGACAGAGCACCTCAATTTTTTACAGGTAGCTCCTCGCAGGCTGCGATCCGACCGAGGCACACAGGAGAGGGATCAAAGACAAAGCAATCAAAAAAGCTGTACACGGTAGGACCACTAAGATTCATTAATAGCTGCTGTTGTTAACTAGTTATCTTTAGCGAGCAGAATATAGAAAGATGCCGATAAGGACAGTGAAGAGCAAAACTGAAGTTGTGTTGCCAGTATTCCTACTATTATTCATTCTCTATTTACAACTTTGTTGGCATAAGGTAGATAAATTTGTTGTGAAAATTTTTTTCACTTTCTTTATCTACTGAAAGCACTTAGCCGAATCACATGTTTTTTTCAAGTTCTCTTTAATCTACAGTTACATTCCGAATTTGCATTAATCCGACGTCACGACGCATGGAAAGCCGCTACCAGATGAATAATTGGTCAGGATACATTCCCTAATGCTGGATGTCTATTGCAATTAAGCAATGGTCCCTGCACATTTCTTATTTCTTTTCATAAACTGTGGTTATGGAGCATAAAAACTCATACATCTATTCCAGGTGCTTGAAACAGAGGAACCGAAGAAAAGCCAACTAATTTCATCCACGCATTCAGCTTTACTTCATCGATAGCTCAAGTTGCAGATGGCTCAAAAGGTGGTCGTATTAACTATAATGGTCTCATTTCTACTTAGTTGAAATCGAACTATAATAGTGTTGAATAAATCCCTTCAAAGCTAATTGAACTTACGTAGTATTGGCAAATATACAAAGAAGCAACTAAGAAAGCGTTTTCAATCACAGTCAGTCGAGCAATTATCAGATTTTCGATATACACGTTGAAGTTTCACCGCATGTAGATGCGAACATCATGGAACATTACATTTTTGGAATCAGGAACAGTCAGCTTCAACGGCTGCCACGTATTAATGAAATTGTGGAATTCATAGGCGTTCCTATCAGGCACAAAAACGTTTCTCCCCTCATTTTCAGTACATTTTTTAAGAAATGGAAAAAGCAGTGCGTCCTAAGAATAAATAGGGAGCAGTAAGCAAAAAGTCACGCAATTGCAACTTCGCGAGGAGAATCCAAGAAAAGAATTGCGGTTCGTATCACTGAGCGCTCTAATCTGGCGCCTAGATCAGTTGGCAATTTGCCAATGGGAGCGGAGACGCTGACCCGTGAGGAGAAGAGGTTGGATCCTCACTGCGGCTTATTGCAGTCATCGTGACCGGTTCGTGTCGCACAAGCGGTGCCTCTTCGTGTCGTTCTTACCTTTCCTGCCTAAGTGAGCTTCATTCGGTACCTCTGTACCTCTTCGTTTCTTTCAGGTCTCTCCTATCTTCGTGAGCTATTTAGACGTCGGGTTGTAAGAACAGTTTCCAATTGCGAGCTATTTAGACGTCGGTATCTAAGAACAGTTACCAATTTAGAGTAAAGATTTCAACCACTATTGACTCCACGTTGCCTAAATTTTGTTTCGGTTCAATCAAAGTTGATCGTAGGTGAGCAAAAAGTATAAAAGCAGCTTCGGCTCCTAAGGGAGGAACGTTTCTGGTTTTCCAAGCAACTCTGGCTTTTTTTCTTTCAACTATTGACAATCCTTGACCCCTTTTTCAGATTCATCTAATCTCCCATCATGGATCAAGCAGAGGTATCGGCAGTTGGGAACGAAAGTGTGATTATTTCCAGAGAGGATTACGAAGGTCTCCTTCAAAGAGCGAATCGCACGGAGTCTCGAGAAGTAACAGTGTCCTTCGCGCAGCCACTAAGCCGACTTTTACGAAGCCGGGCCTGCAACGTCAATTCGAGTTCAACAGCTGTAATTTGGGATTAATCGCACCGGTTGCCCAAGTCGCACCAGAGGATTTCGACGTTAGGATTACACTGGAAAAGGCGGTCACGGCGTTGCGGCAGCGCAATGAACTCCTTACCGTGGCAGACAAGGACCCAGAAGTATGGGAATTCTTTGATCAACACATCAAAGATCAAAGCTCAAAGCTTCGAGTTTCGAATCCCATATTGGCAGCTTTCCTGAGAGAGAAGAAAAAGCAGGAGAAAAAGGAGGAAGTAGATCGAGCTGGGGTCGCCCGCATCCCTACAGATCAGCAGCCTTCCGGCCCTTTCGGGCAGGATGGGCGAAGTGTGACCTCGCCTCTCCTGCTGCCTCCCTCCCTCCCTTCAACCGCGGCGGGAGCTTTCAGAAGCTCCGCTCCCATTATATGTAAAACCAACTCGCCTTATCGCAATTTCTTCGAGCATGGCAGTAAACCAATCTGCTTCGACTGTGGCAAGCCAGGCCACATCCAGTCTGAGTGCAGAGGCACCAAAAAGTGAGTTCTTAGCAGAAGGGAGGATACCATTCTGGTTGGCCTTGAATCTTTCGGATCTGGTTCGCTCCACTATTAGAGTTGGCTTTATGCCTGCTTGCGTGGGCCAACCAGAATTGGAATTCTCAAGAAAGAACGCCCAGTCATCGATTGATTTTTCTTCCTTTGTAGATATGGAAATCAGTAATCTTGTCAAAAGCAAAGCTATCCAACAATTGGTGGACTCCCGCTCTATTCGTATCAATCCTATTTCAGTTGCAGAGGGTAAGAAAGCTACGTCTAATCTTGGATTTGTCAGCCCTGAACAAATGTTTTATTAGGCTAAAAATAAAGTTTGAAGTGCTCCTTTTCCTCCCCAAGGGCGGCTTCATGGCAACCTTTGATTTTAAGTCTGGGAATCATCATTTGAAGATGCATCCTGATTTTGTAGAGTACTTGGGTTTTACGTGGAGGGAAAAATTGTATAAATTCCTCGTGCTCCCCTTCGGGTTGTCTCTGGCCCCCTTCATTTTTACTAAACTGTTCAGACCTCTCCTCAGAAGGTGGAGAGAGAAAGGTATCACCCTTGCCCTGTATTTGGTACGACGGTTTGGTTTGGAGCAGATTCCGCACACCGGTTCGAAGAGTTCGTCAGAACTGTCAGAAAAGATTTGGAATTTGCCGGCGTTACCATGGCCGAAGACAAATGTAACTGGATCCCGCTAAAGAAGGCCACGTGGTTAGGTCATGTGATAGATTTCGGGAATTTCTCTTTAAACATAACCTCGGAGAGAAGAGAGAGAGTAAGATCTTCAGCCACCAGGCTTCTCACGATCAAAGGGCCTTCCCTTTACTCCGTATGAAATGGACAGGCTACATAGCCTCTATGTTTTTAGTTATTCCTCCAGACAGGAAACGCAAGTGGCGAGCAGTGCTTTCACAAGTGGCGGAGAAACAGCTGGCAGGCAGCTCATTACACTTCAGGTGGAAATTAAGCTCAGAGGAAAGAAGTGAGTTAACTAAGTTGGTTGGTTTTCGACAAAACCTTTGTAGGAGTTCCATTAGAGGTCCTCCACTTGCTTCTCCGAGCCATGTATCCATATTTTCTCGGACGCATCCGATTTTGGTACGGGGGCTATTTTGTATCTGCCAAACCAACCCACTCTGTCCACTTGGGCTCAGCTCCCAGTGAGCTCAGCGACACTTCTTCTACTGCCCGGAGCTGTACGCAATTCTGTCCAGTCTAAGGGCGGCTAGATTTCTTCCCTTCCAAGAGTGCATTTGGTTGTGATAGTCAATGTGCAGTAAGCATCTTGAAGAAAGCGAGTCTCAAACCTAACTTGCGATCGCTAGCACGTCAGGTCTGGGACTTGTGTGAAATTCTGCGCGCCCAAATGGAATTCGGCTGGATTCCTAGATCCCTCAATGTGGAGGCGGACACAGAGTTTTGTAGATCTCGACGATTAGAGGATATCGGACGCCATTTTCACAGAGCTCGAAAAACTGTGGGGCACCTATTCAGTGGACATGTTCTCCAGCCCAACATCAGCGAAATGTGAAAAGTTCATTTCCAGATTGGCAAGTGATAAAGCATGCTGCTTCGACGCCTTCTCGACAGCGGCCTCCGCCTGGTGGAGCAACAACCTATTGGTGGGTTCCCCATCCTCATCTTATCCCTAGCACTTTACCCTGGGCAAAACTTCATCTGAGTAGGGGAATTTTGGGCTTTCCTGTATGGCCGTCTCATTTGTCCTTCCCACTGCTGGTTAACGAGGGATGGATTCCGGAAATTTTGGAGGTAATCGTCTTTCCTGCAGGGACAAAAGTGTTACAAGGTTGCTCCCCTTCTTTTACCTTCGGGGCTCCCTCGTTGAGATTCGATTTCGCCTTTGCCCTTTTATCTTTTCAGCCCCCCTCCGGGCTTTAACGTTTTTCCGTTGTAGCGTTGCGTGAACGTACAAAAAAGTTTCGTCGGAAGTACTGAGGCGAAAATGGAGTTTTGTATTTGGCGCAACGAGCCGCCGATCAGGGCGGCAGTTGATGGCGGGTCAGCGCGCCTTGGCCTCACCGTCCCACCCATACTTAATTCTAGCTTGTTCCAGTTTTTTCCCGAAGTTTTTGACTCTCATTTTGCAGATCTTCCCCTTGGAGATCGTCACGTAGCAGCCGAGTCGACGGCGATGTCAGCTAACCACGGTCCTGCGGCGGTAGCCGAGATCATACAGGCCTCTAAAGGCCATTCCATATCGCCGGGAACGCCTTAAAATCTATTCCAGAGTCAAGAAAATGTTCTTAGATAGTCG